AAGTACGGGATATACATCAAGGATATTTGCAAGCTATCGAAGAGCTAAGAGATAGGATAAGTAGATTACAAGAAGATCACAAGAATGAACTGAACACTATAAACATCGAAATACTTAAAATGAAAGAGAAACACGAAGAAACTATGAAGCAAATGGAAACAAATTATAATGCTAAACTTATTACAGAATACGATAGATATTTAGCGCTTGAAAATACAATGAATAATATGCGTCAAAATTATGAGAAACGTTTGGAAGAAGTAGAGAAGCATGGCATTGAAGAATTACAAAATGCAACAACTAAATATGAGGCTCTTCTTCATGAGAAGAAATTGCAATTAGAAGAAAGTCAAGATGAAATAACACAGCAGGCGCGAGTACACGAGGAGATGATGACTCAAGTTGAAGACGATGTCGATAAGGAAATATTGGAACTAAAAACAAATTATGAAACATTGCTACATGAAGAAAAGGAGGCAAATATACGGCTGAAAGGAGAAGCTGGGATGTTGCGCAATAGATATATGGCTAGTTTAAAAGATGTTGAAGAATTGAAGAGACAACTGCAACAAGTTCAAAGCGAATATGGGTATTTCCAAAAGACTATTCAAGAATTAGAAAAAGATAAAGATGATTTGAAAATCGAAATAAATGAAAGGGATATCACGATTCAAGATAGAGAACGTCAGATATATGAATTAAAGCGTACAAATCAGGAACTGGAGAAGTTCAAATTCGTTTTGAATTACAAGATTACAGAATTGAAAAATCAAATAGAACCGCGGGATCAAGAAATCAAAGAGCTCAAAGAGAAAATCCGAGATATGGAAACGGAACTTGTAAATTTGCATAAAACAACTATTAGTTTAGAATTACAATTACATGAATTGAGGGAAAAATTAGGAGCTGCAAGACATGAACTTCAAAATGAAATGCATCGAAATAAAAGATGTCAACAACTTTTAAAAAGGATACGAATAGATTTGCATGATGCTTCAGGGCTTGTGCAAGAACCACAGGCATTAAAAATTGCTATCACAAAATTGTATCACAAGTATAGTTCAAGCGATGAATTTTTGCGTAGCCGAAAAGCGGATTTAGATGCGCAATGTGAATTTATAAAGCAGAGGGATCATTTAGAAAGGACAATAGCTTCCCTTAAGAGACAAGTTTTCCAAGACAGAATAGGCAGTGGCAAAGATATAGATAAAACGGTGGAAGAAAATATTATTTTGATCACAGAATTAAATGCTTTGAGAGAAGAATTGAAAGATGCAAGAAAACACGTACAGCATATGGAAGGTCTGTTAGGTTTAACGGTAAAGGATATAAAGCCGTCAGAAGCAAAAAGAAAGATGGAAGAAGCATTATATGAGCATGAACAATTGCGAATTGAATACAGATTTCAAATGCAAGAGTGCCAAAATATAATAATTGCTTTAAAAGACGATATGTATAAATTGATAAGCAAACTACCTTGTGAAGAAGCAGAAACTAAAATAACTTTTTAGATGTGCTTACCACGAGTAAGTGAAAGCTTTGAATACTAAATAAATTTTTTTTATATAAGTTATGTGTAGTATATTATTAAATCGTTTTCCTATCGTAAATTATTTATTTAAGGAAAAGAAATATTATTAACAAATTGGAACGAAGAAATGTTATAACAATAATTACCAACACAATTTTCTTAAATTAATATTGCCTTATTTAAAGAACAAATGGAATGATAGATTTTCTATTTTTCGGATATTGGGAAAATTCTTTCTTATACGCTTTATGTTTTCCTAATGCCCATATAGTCATTTGATATGCACCAGCTAAGGTAAAGAGAGCAGCTGAAAGAATATGATAGTTACATATAGTATACATTATATTTAGTATTTTACTGATAGAATAACAAGTATATTTATACCTGGCAAACATGAGGTCATGATAGTAAAACCAATCCAACTGCCAATCTCATAAGTATAATTTGGGCATGATACAAGATTAAACAATATAGTAAAAGGATTGCCAGTGGGTACTGGTATTTTTCTTACAGTACTTCCTGCTGGTCTCAAATTTCTTAGAGCCACATGAATACTCAAGTTTCCCACTTCACAAAGTGCAAATATTACTAGTCCAGTCAGAAACTGCATTTGATTCGGAGCTGTATACAAAGGATGATTTACATGGTATGCTACATACATAGCAAACAGCCAATAGTATGAACAGTTTTTAAAGAGATTGCGCAGTGGCATTGTTGCATGACTGAAACGGTGTATGAACAATGTTTCTAGAAGTCTTTTTGCATAATGTATAGACCAACAAATTGCTGCTACACTGAAATCAAATTTACAATTTTAGGTTTTAATATTCTAACTCTATATAGTTATTCTTGTTGGTTTTGTGTTAATATTTTATAAGCATCATAACTAGTTTCATACAGCTATATAGCAGTTTAAAAGTAACATACTGATAATTTAACTGTAACTTATATTTACACAACAATAATTGATCTCTTATCATTATATCATTCAACCTCTAAGAAAAAAAGGTAATGAAATATTAGGATAAAATTTATTAAGAAGAATTTGTTAAATAAACTTACTGGACTACATTATTAATTTTGGATGCAGTTGCATCACCATAAAAAATCCATGCACGTTGATATATCCATAAATATAGAAATAATGGACCAGCATATTCCACTAAAAATACAGTTTTCCAACTAATCTGTGGTCCAAGATCTTTAAAGTATAACTTTCCACCACTAGAAATAGATAAATTCTTCAATGTATCTGAATCAGATAAAGCTTTTCCCTTAGCATCTAGTCTTAAACATTGTCTGTGAATATGTGGTGCTTTTTTTAGTTTAAATAATTCTTCTTTAATTTCTCTTATAGTTGTAGTAGGTTTCACCTATAAAAATGTAAAGTAAAATACGTCATTCAAGAAAACTTTTGTATTAGAAATTCAAGTTTATGTATATTGCTAGAAATTCATGCATATTAATCAGACTATTATGAATTATTGAGTATCGCATACATTATCTATTACATAAAAGTAATGGTTGATAAGTTTAATATGTTCGTTAGAAGCTACAAATAATAATATATGAAAATATTTATTTCATTTTTACTTGTTCATTTACTTACGGATACATTTGTTATGAATTTTGATGACTTCGCGGTCAATATTTGAATCTAAAAATATAAAAAAGATACATTGAATTATAGATTCCTTTAAATAAGAACTCGTTTATTATTGATTTTAATACATATACATATTTATACATATAATAAATACCTCCATTGTCGATATATAATAATTCTTTATTAATTAATAAAGACTTTGTAACTCCACTGTGTGAAGAACTGAACGACTACTACTACTTCCAGAACACTACACTACATACTGCGCTTACGGTCAGGTCAGAGAGAAATGTATAATGCAGCGCTGTGATCGTTTAATTTCAATTGTACAAAGTTCAATTTTTTTCTGATGACCAATGAATTCTTTTCACGTATAATTTCTAAAATGACATTCATAATATTATTGAAAATTGTCAGTACTTATATTCTTTAACATTTCGAAATATTTGCAACAATTTATATTAATGATATTTCCTTTGTAAATACATTGTACTATTTTTCATATTCTGCATTTCTAAAGTTGATATAAGACGATCACAAAAAGACATTTATGTTATTTTTGTGTCTGAGACATACATATAAGAGTTCTTACGACAAAAGTATTTGTAAAATATGTTAACATTAATTAACACCGAAGGTGGTATTTATAAATTGCGTAGAAAATCAAAAATTGATGCAAATGGAATTTATTTAGAGTAGTTAAAAAAATTAATATATATATAAGAATTAAAAAGAATTTCTTATATGTTAAGAAATGTATGTTTATTAATTTGCAATGTTCTACTGATAATATGCATGTAAATTGTTTAAGATATTATTCTTAGATGTCGCTACTATATCTTTCACAATGTAGATTTCTACGGTGACATCGAAGACTAGACCATAGACAATAAAATAGATGTGATATGCGATTCTTTTTCGTGTTGCATGTGACGTTATCGATTCAGTATAGTAGTGGGTTGAATCGAAACTATATTTTCCTATGAAATTACAAATAAGATGTATAATAGGACAGCTTGCAAAGAAAGTATAGAATCCTATACTTCTGCAACTGATTAAAGTCGTAATCCTGGTACAAACTCGTAAAATCCAAACTCGTAAATTCTAAAATTGGGTGACTCTTATCTCTATTTTTTATTAAACAGTTTTTTAAACAAATCCAAGTAATATTTTTTCGCATCCATAATTCACTTTCAAGGGGCAATAAATTCAATGAAACTACGAAATCTGTGATTGTGTATGACTTTTGCAAAAAACTATTGATGTAGTTTAATTTCTATAAAAAGTACATTTCTCTGAAAGCGTCTGAATTTTTATGAAGTTACACTGAACTTCGATGATATTTGTCACTCCTTTAAACTGAATCATCGCTACTAAAAAAATGTCTTGCATCTGTTAATGGTATCACCATTATGTAAAAAGTTAAACAAAATCGGTGTTTTTTAATTGGGTAATTTTCGTAGACCGCGGGGTCTCTCAAAAAGCGGGGCTGGGTTTCCTGCCTTGCGACGGCCCTGACTATATGTACATATTTTTATATAAAAATTAGACTGCGGCTTTTTATGTATTTATAGAAAACCTAAAAATGTAAAAAAGTTATTTACAATGTGGAAAAATCTCTGTTAAGTTCCATTGTTATAAATGACGGTCTGTAAAAGTATAAAATTACATAAATATCCACAGTTCAATAATAATAATAATAGTATATATGTATATTATAACAATAAAGACATGTAATAAGTACAAGTTCTTTTTGATGTTATGTGATGTTTATATTGAATTTTTTTTTTATTTATTTATTAAAATTACAATCAATTCTCGCGTTGAGAAGTTTATATTGAATAACGTTCAAACATTGGCGAGAATCGTTATAGAGTACGCTAGTGTGCCTAACGTTGAGTCGCAGAGGTTTCTGGCCACTTCTTGCCATTTCGATTTTAGACGAAGAAGTGGACGTTAGAAGAAGAGGTTAGAATTTTAGACGATTACAGTTTGGTAATCTGAAAAATGGGTTTTCAAAATATTTGGTACTCGCACCCAAGAAAATATGGACAAGGATCTAGATCCTGGTAAGTATTACTATTTTGTATTATATTTTTAAATTGTAGACAAATCAATTTATATCATAAAGTTACATACATGCAATAGACCGTGTCCACGTTTATATTTTCCCAGTAAAAGAAGATATTTTTATAGCTTTTAGTGTAGGTTATTTAAGATAATTTAAAAATACGAACTACTTTATTATCGCTATAATTAAAAAGAAAATTCATATCTTGCTTAAAAATATCATTTCTACATTTTTCGACCATAACCTCAATGTAGTATGTATTATGCATAGTATTTATACTTATTATTAGACTGCTGTAGTCTATTTATAATAGCGTTCTTTCAATGTGTAATTAATCATATTATGCTATTTTACAGTCGTGCTTGTGCGAACAAGCATGGTTTGATAAGAAAATATGGATTAAACATCTGTCGCCAATGTTTTCGCGAATATGCTGCCGACATTGGCTTTAAAAAGGTATAAAATTTGAATTCTTCTATGTTTACAGATATATTTCTAATATATATAACGATTAAATATTATATCTAAATCAATCTCTTTTTATTTACAGCTGGATTAACAACAATGAAATAGCTAATTGGATAATATTTATATTCATCTTTATTTATATATGAGATACAATAAAATGAAATTTTTCTACTAAACATATTTGTATCATTAATTTTAATATATTATAACTAAATTAAGATTAAAACATTAGATTTTCTAGTAAAATATTGTATAAGACTATAAAAGATATGATAGCAGCCGTTGCATTCAGATCCTCTTTAACCGTTTTAGTGCCAGGGGTTTTTAACACTAAACCTATCGACATTTCGTGTATGTCTATTCCTACCGTGTGCGATTAAAATAATGATTAAAGAAGTAATAGTTTTTATAATTTAACCTAGATAATGGTTAATTTATAATTAATATAATTGTATGTCGGAGATGAAAGGACACCGGAGCCTTCCCTCTGGAACTTCGGGAAAATCCGTAAAATTGTAATTAAAGCTTACGGTTGTAATTAAACAATTTGCCGTCATTCTGCCCAATTGTACTTGGTTGCGATTTGTGATAATAAACTTGGGCTCAAGGCGACCATCAGCCGCCGAACGTAGCAGTGGTCAACGGGACGGACGCTTCGTCTAACAAAGGTATGGAGTGATGTTATGACCCTCATCAAAGGAAATACCCATAGAGGTACCTGACAATAAAACATGCCAACGGTTCCTTCGGACAATGAATACCAGATGTTGAGGCACTTACATAGCACAAGTTCAGTTAGCCCGAGGACCCGCTATAAAATCTGGGTTTTTTCGGTAATTAAGATTTTTCAAACGGACAGGCAGGTTTGGGACTTCCATCTATTTCTCTCCAAACTGTCCCATTGGGTCCAGTTTCGATACGTAGGTTCTCTACATCAGTCTCACCTTTTGCTGTCAACGATAATTTCCTTTTTCCTTTTTGCCCTGGACTTATTTATAATATTCAACTCTGATTCGGTTGTAAATAGCTTTTCATGTGTTTCCATGCCGTCTTCAGTTGCTGAAGTTTCTTGTTCATCGCACACTGAACAGTCTTCTTCTATGTCCGTAATTTTTTTTTATAATTTTTTTTTAAATGTCTTCACACGTCTAGGGTAAATATTTATCACAGAATAATACCGAATAATACAGAATAATACGGAATACAAAATTATTGTCAAATTTGATATGCTTTACTTTTCCTTTTGTAACAACTTTACATAAAACGCTCTGAGATGCTTTCTGTCTGAGTTTTAGAGATAACAAGTTTAGATGTCGACTAATTGATTAACAGACTGAGATGTATTCTAGTCGAAAGGACAATAGCAAGTAAGAATATAGTCTGTGACGGCGATATTTATACAAAAATATTGATAAGTATTGGCCGTTCTCCACCAACAGTTACTCGAGGATGCAGTTGGGAAAGTTTTTCCCGTGTTTTATCGCAATGAGCAATAACCCTAAGAAACTTCTCGACTTTTAAAATGTTTGTAACAATGGACTGTAAAAAATGCTAAATTTTATGGCGGTTCCTTAGGATTATTATGAGCCTGAATTGATATGTCTTGACAGCTGATGGCCATCTTAGTCGAGGGATGGATTATGTTTTATGACAAGATTACGGGTGCAACTGTATTTTTTCTGCACGGGGGTCTATTTGGTAACGAATCCTAGCGGCTGGTATTTGTCGCTGACGCGTTGTTGTAGAACCGTTCCTATGGATTTGCCAATTTGTATTTGATGTACCAACATTGTGACGTCAGCGAGAGCACGTTTCGATTCGCGAAAACTGTTTTCGATTTGTTCCGACCACTCGATGGTCGCGTTGCCTTTTTTCGCACCTTTTACCGGATTCCGGCAAACGCGCTAAACCTGTTTTACGCCGGCCCTGACTCTACATGAAGGTACAACTTCTTCTTTGATGATTGTTGATATCAGGGCTCGCGTTCGCATATCTCGGGTGTTTAAATAAGGAGCAGCGATAGATACGGAAGTTCTTAGTAATTATATCGATAAAACAGCAAGACGTCGGTAAGCTGATGTTACAAAAGTCACGTCTATTCTGTAGGTTGCTGGTATAATCACTGACGAGTCGTCTGTGATAATTCGTATGTTTCGAGATATAACATGCCACTTAATGTTACGTTTATCCTGTCCTTAGTCAACGCATGTATTTATTCAATGACTGGCAATAACTGGCAGTGAGATGGCTCCGTCGGTAACTGGTTTCTGTCAAGAATACTACTTACTTGATAAAGACTATGTGTATACGGTACACATATTCATGCATATATATTTTTTAATTTAACACTAAAATGTAAATGTATATACACACATATATGGCATATAGAGCCGAGAGTAGATCATCTTCATAATTTTCTTAATTAAAATAATAAGGATTTTGTTAATAGAGTTTGTGATAAAAATAAGAGATATTTTGTTAAGTGAAATTTATTGTTACAGAAGTAGATTACCAGTAAGATTTGGTAGCATAAAATTACCAAACGATACCATTAAAATTATCGACGAGTTCTTGATACGGATTATCTCGATACGAAGAACGATAAATTTAAAATTTCCTTAAATTACACCAGTGGCTTTTCTATACTGACCGAAATGTTCCAGATACTGTTGTATCGTATCCAATGGTTGATAAATATCGTTCATTCGGTTCTATAAAAAGACGAGAAACTTGAATTATTCTTTCAGCGGAGAACATTGTTGACTATCGAAAGCAAACAGTGTTGACGCACGCTGTCTCTCCGAAAAAGCATGTTATTCATTAAATTACCTGCAAATACTGCGGTGCTTGATTGGACACGGTAGATCCGAGGAATCCTTGTAAAAATTCACGCATCAATTCCCATGCACTTCCGGGAACCACGCAGGGTCTATATTCCACCTATGAAACGTGGAAAACAATTATTCAATATATATTCAGAAATAATCAACAGGTACACGGTACTTGATGTACCTTTTTCGATTTTTCACGACGGTTCTTTTATTTTGCCTCGATATTTCTTATTTTCAGAGAAATTATTTCCAGACGCAATCGAAACGACGGAAAGAGGAAATCTGTGAAAAAGTAAAGACACAGAATGCAAGTCGAAAGAAACGACAACAGGACGTGATTAACGCAATCGAAAGTTAAGCTTGTTTCTCGCCCTGACGACAGGATATCTCCGGTTCGAAGAAAGCGCGAACGCTCGAGGGAACGTCTTCCGGTTTGCGGCATACGTCAACCACCGACACGCTTTTCTTGCTCCACGAACTTGTTTAGCAAGTAATTCTCTGATCGAAAGCGCCTCGTGGTGTGTTATGATTAACAGGCTGATTTGATTTGACTGCAAATGAGGCTGATTTAAATGTACAATAAAGAACGTGGTGACAGAAAGTCGTCACGTAAAAGGTGAAATATTTCATCTTTTATCGCAGCAAAATCGTAGAACATAAAATGTCGTCGATATTGTGAAAGCGTGTAAATGTCGCAGGGTATTATGTTAGCCGTGTGAAATTGAAATTGAAATTGAAAGAAATTGAAACAACGTCCCTCTGAATGCAGTTTGCGGGAAGAATCGATCGCGACCGTGAACCATTCGCTCTTTTCGTTGCTCGTTTCTCTTTGCTTCGCGTTCGCCGATCAAGATCAGCTCAGGTATCATTTTTATCGAAATCGATTCCATTTTTATCCCATCTTTATTTATCAATTTGCGATTCGAGATGAAATTTAAAAGTAATTTAAAGCTTAGAAATCGGGAAGTTACGAAGCCAGAGCTCAGAGATCGGCAGCTTACGGATTCAGAGTTTAGAAATTGGAAAATTACGAATTCAAAACTTAGAAAGCGGGAAGTTGCGAATTCCGAGCTCAGAGCTCAGAGATCGCCAAGCTATCGAGTCATAGCTTACAAATTGAGAAGTTACGAGGTCGAAGTTAACAAATTGAAAAATTACCAATCCGAAGCTAAGAAATTGCGGAGCTATAAATTTCGTATCATTTTATTCATAGTTTTTTTAAACGTATAAACTTTTAAAATCGTAAATTAAGAAACATCGCAAGTTCACAGGTCGTGAAACCTGTAACGACCATAGGATCATCTTTTTATAAAGAAGTAAACATGTACGCGCGACGGTTTTTCTTGCGTCGCAGAGAACGCGAAAGAACGTAGGAACAAGGAAGATGGTGACGCGGAGGAGCGTGAGTTAGTACGGTTCTACGGCGTGGTATTTTCTCTCTGGAAATTAATGGGGGAACAGGGGCTTTATCGTAACATATTCGACGTCGTGGTAGAGTACAAACAGCGCTGTTACCGATACAAATGGCTGGTGGATCGGTCGAAGAACCGCATCGTTGGTCCACCTTGTAGAATGGAAGTTACACCATTTTCACGCTATTGCGAGGCGAAGTCCGATGACCGAGAAACATCCTCGCGTTAAAAACTCTGGTTACTGTAGGTGGATTAATCATCGTTCTTTCAACTTCTTTTACAACGAGATTCATTAAATAATATTAAAGAAACCGTAAATCAGATGGTTAATAATGCAAATTTCAAAAGTTGAATTCTTTGCACTTAGAATTTGCCCGGATGCCGTTTAATTAATTTTTCGAGCTAACTGAATTCTAGATAGCAGTAATTAAAACAAGAAGCGTGTAACTTCAGTTTTTCGTTTTAATTAAAGAAGATTTCTTTTATAACTCGCAGCATCGAGGGGGCATATCTTCGAATATCCTTCAAACGAGATTCCAGTATTTTACCGCAAATTTTCTGATATTTCCTCGTATCGATTCACCTATCCCGTGCACCTATCGTACGTTCGCAGCTAGAATTTCACAGAAACGCGTTTGCGGTATCAGGCGAACGAAATCCTCGTGTGCGACAGTATGAAACGCCGCGGTCAGAAACGAGTCGAGAGCAACCGAAACGCGTTCTACGGAAACTCAATTTTTATTAAATCTCTGTTCAAACCTGACGCACTTGCAATTTAAAAGAGAAGCTCTATCGACGTGACAGTATCTTAATGCTTCGTATTTTATTCTAAATCTCTTAATGTTTCCTACGAAGCCACGTAACGTTGTATATTCGTAAAATTTATCTGCAAGTGTTGGGATATTCTTTCGTGGGCAAACGTGTGATATTTCGACGTTGTCAGTCGACGCGATATTGCAGTTGTGGGCAATCATCTGCGGCCAATTGATCGTCCAAATCGAATCCTTCCAATATTCTCGATAGTCCGCACGCTTTCGCGAACATTTAATCGAAGTTTCATCGAAGCTCGATCGAAATAGAAAAGGAAGGTCCGCCTTTGGTGACGCTCGTAACGAACAGAGGTAATTCACGCGTGTACAACGAATCTCACGGTGGGCTAAAACTGTCGATCGATATTACTGCGATCGTCGTGTGATCGACAAGGCTTTGTGAAGTAGCGCAGGCTATTTCGCCGGTTTCCAAGTTTAATCGCCAGTTAATTAGCTGGCGTGATCCTTCGCAATCCCTTGGCAACGCGGCAGTCGGCTAGCCTGGTAACGAGTTTCGCGAATATCACCCGAGCTAGACATCTGCCGCGATTATTAATTCAACCGATTATCTGGCCGAAAGTTCTCTCTGCCTGTTATGAAAAGTTACGAAACTCTGCCACCGCGAAGAAATGGAAAAGACGTCGTTTCATTTCGGAGTTCTTCCTTATTTTCGGGGTTAATTAGCTTCCTTCGGGATTAAAGATCGCTTAGAATCCATCAATCTCATTTGGTTCCGCTTGTAGATATCGCTTACCTCGACCAGAACGCCTTTGAAGTTCTGATTAATCGTCACGCTGCCGAGTTTCACGCAGAAATCGCCGATCTCGAATCGCGGTCCCTTCGATTCCATCTTTTGCATTTTGTTCGTGTAGACGCTCGACATCTTGTACATTAAGAGATCGAACAAACCATCCGCTATCAGTGGCACCACTTTGTTCCCCGATTCTAGAATCGCGAAGGCTGACGCTGGCTGCTCCGAGTTGTGGAGGACGTGGAGAGTTCGTTGAGCACCTTCGACAAATAAAAAAAGAAAAATATAGAATCAACTTTTCTAACATGCAAGGAAGCCAACTTTTCCCCTCCTTTTTCGTATAAATGCAAATATACAAATATAAATAATTTGCTACGAGGATATTCGATAAATTGTTTAATTCTTTCGTGCAGATATTAGACACAGTCGTGAACTTTCAGTTCGTACTACGAGCGATTCTCCATCGAAAATTCCTTTGTTCTTTCAGAATCGAGTGTCAATCGCGTACCCGTTTGTCTAACGAGATTAATCAAATTGATAAAAGACACAGCTGCCCGATTTAACATCCGACAAATTCGTACGTTCATTTATTTCGATAGTCTGTCATTTTCTCGTGTTGCTTTGTCGTATACGCTGTAACGACTTGCTCTGCGACGGTAGAAACTTTTAGGTCACTTCTTAGATGTTCGTGTCTTACGTATGACAGCGCGTTGACAATTGCTCTTAAGATAGACTGTATGGGAAGCAAGTGCAACAGAGACGTGGAATCGCGCTCGATGATGTACGTCCAGGCTTAGTATGCTGCAAGTTGCTTCTGTTTACACCGGTATGCACGTGGATATAACGCGACCGAGCTAAACTTGGACGCAACTTGAAGTTCAGCCGAGGCTACGTGCAACTTCTATCCGGGCTCGTATGTTGTCAACTTGTACGATGAATCTCCGGACGCGAAAACTATCGGGATTGGCCGGCACGACGATCTCTATCCCCTCGTTTTCCGATAAATTTCCAATTCCCCAGACGGCTAGTTAACGAGAACTAATATCCGCGGTTTAGTCGATTCGCCTATTTCCTGCGACTTCCTCTTCTCTGCCTAACAGGAGGAAAACAAACTTTCTCGTTCGCTTTCCGTCAGTGATTTATCATAACTATGTTCTTCCCAAGCTAGGCAAATATCTGGAAATGATATTTTTCGGGGAACTTGGAATCGTAAGTTCGGCGTATCTTTCATGCAAGATCGAGATTGCCTTTGAATAATTTTTAAAAAACGAACCAATTTTTATTAATCCTCCCTTTGCACGGATTATATATTTTTATATACTCGACGCTCGATATTAATTGGAAAGAAGCAATATCGGTCACAGTATTGATCGTTTCACGGTATTTATCGCTAATTTCCTCGATATTTTTAAGGACTGTCGTCAAGTTTTTCTTATTGCAAGTTACCCGCTGGAATATACAAATTCCGTGAAAAAGTGATTCTGTTCAGGCGAACAATCGAGAGAAAACGAGAAACGCGGCGCGGACGAGCCGATTCCATCATTTTCGCGTTTCAATCAGTCGGTTGGATGTAAACAATTATACCGTCATCCGCGATTTCGCGTAATACGAGGGGATTAAAGTCGATCAATTGAAGCCGACAGAAGATGATAATGTAGTTGGAGCTTGATGCAGCGAATAATAAAATCAGACAGGATCGATTTATACGCGGGGTGAAATGGAAATCTGACAGGTTCGAAGCTGCATTTCGTTATGTGAAATGAGATTATTTTGCCGTTTTCAGAATTGAAATTAACAGGAAGCGATAATGCGTTTACAATGACAATTCTATGCAGCGCCGCGCGTTGCTTTTGTCAGTCATTTACAACTTTTTCATTCTACGCCTTTCCTTTCTTTTTTTCCATCGCGCAACGTATAAATTCCCTTTTTACGGCCGCTAAATTCGTCCAGCTTTATTCAACAGATTCGTAACGTTTTTTGCAATTACGTGTTGTAGCTGGTGCGCATCTCTGCTCTCAATGAAATTAATTCCCCGACACATGGTGGCATTTGTTGGGATCCAAAATTCTACTCTATGGTATGTTAGTGCTTTGTTTAACGAAACCGTATTACTTTTTGTAATCACGCGACGCCACGATCCTCCCTCAAATCTCGTACGATAGAACGAGGTGAAAGAAAGATTCGATTACGAGTAATTCGCCGCGTGATGCGCCGGATCTCGCGTGTATCAAGATTAATACCAGGCCAGACAGAGACATACGACGTGCGAACTCCACTGAATATTCATAATTCATCCGACATAACCCCTCACCTGGTTTGTCCACCATAATAACAGGCCATTGCCGCGTGCAAACGCATGAATTATTTACGGCTTAAATTATAACACACCCTCTACGCGCCGTCAAATGACAAAATTCTTAATTACGGATCGCGAATCCGCGGACAGTTTTATGCTCTTTAATTGCACACCACTTTACGCCCTTATTTATTGCCACCGGTTGTACATAACAACGTAAACGTAATCGTTTTTATCTGTTTTCTCGCTTTAATAAAGGGACGACCGCGTCTTCTGGTAAGATACGAAGTAAGATACGAATTAAGGATGCCTACAATCCTTCCACGTTTTATCTCATATCAGGATGAGATGTTTGTTTCAAGCGGCGATATTTAACGCATCGATTTTACGAATAGAATAGTCGTTCGATTATCCACATGTCTACGCGAGATGTAAAAGCGTAGAGTTGCGTTCGAGAGGTCTGTAAACTGTCGATTTGTAACTTGGCAAATCGATAGCTGAGGATTACCTTTCGCTGTATTTTCTCAGGTTACGAAAACCTATCGCGACAGATGATAAAATTAAAATGAATTAATTACGAAGCTAAATGGATGACACTCTTAAGGATCGAAACTGGTGATAGTTGGATTTTGACTTTAACTTGCCAATGAACGTTATTAATTATGCAAAAGGTGTGAAACCGGGTACAAGGAATAATCTAAATCTAAGCCAAAGGTAATCGATATCGTGTTATAGTCTTTACAGAGATACGTCTGTTGAGAAAAGTCATAGCTGCTACACAGCCTTAGTTTTTAATGAACTTCGTGCGCGTGAAGCCAAGTGTGAGAAAGATACGCGTAATTTTCTGCAAATGTGGTAAAAGCAAGTGAAGTGGAAATTAAATAAAATCCATGTACAGGTAATTAAACGAAAGGCCTGTGCAATGTAATAATTAAGATAATCACACGGGCACGATGTACGCGTCAGAATCGTGCGTTGCGTAACGAGAAGGATTCGTCGAAAGTGAGCTTCGAAATTGTCGATACAATGTACGCGCGCGGCGTGCAAAAGCTGCGACCTATTTCCGCTTCCATAATTTCCCGAAAACAATGGGAACGCACGGGCGGCAATTCGGATTAACGAACAGGCTGATTAGAAACATCCTTTCCGCTCCTCCGCCGCTTTCTGCGGGGTAATTCACGCCAGCGACCGTATACGGCCCTGTGACGCGCCGCATGCCGCATTCCGCATCGTCTGCATCGCACGTATGCATCGCGACACGGATGTACGGCCGCTGCAGGAGCCGCAAATGTGACCCGCCACCCCCAGCATCCGCAAGGATCACTAACAGGAGCAATAACATCTTATCGGTGTAATGACCCCGAAATAAATTTGTAGCGGCTACGTTACAGCCAAACTGATCCTTCGACTAATTCATACGATTTAATCAAAGTTATTAGTACAGTTATCAGTTAGCCGTTTCTGTTCGATCAAAGATACCTCAGCCTCTGCCAGTAGCCAGTGTCTGCTTCGTTTTTGACGAAATTCCCAATTATTAGATAGTAATTTGCTTAATGTTTAAACAGCGTGTTTAAAAAATGTCTAGATCAATACATAACTGCATTTAGCGTTCTAAAAGATAGACGGTTTGACCTCGTGAATTTATTTTATTACGGTAGAACCTCGTTTGTCGGAATAGTTCGAGGGTCACGGTAGTTTGCATAACCGGATAGTTGGGATAATAGAGACTCACTTAGGAGTTCGTTTATCGGAAGTTGCGTCTGAATTTGTTTGCATGAACGAGGTGCGGATGAGCGAGGTTCTACCGTACAAGGAGTCATTCTACATGCAGTATGTCGATAGTTTGAAAGGGAGAAAACGCAGGAGTGCTCCGGCAGCAATTCGAAAGAGGTCCCGGAGCACTCCTCTCAGGCGTTAGGTAGGCCACTGTGGGGTTTTAGTCGGTGAGAGTCCGACATCACCTCGCTGCTCTCCTGGGAGCGGCGGGGTTTCCATGAGGATTTACCTATGTAAAAAAAGAAAGATAAAAAAGTATGTCGATAGTTGAAATAACAGTAAATATCAAGGTGAATTGGAAAAGAAACAATTCTCAGGGTTGATCAGCCTGGTCTTTGAGTGGGCCACTTATAAATGACGATGTTCAGACATTCGGATGACTAGATATCTGTAGATGTAAACGTCCTGACAAACGGTGACAATGTGTAGAAATTCCTGGAAATTGCAGACTAACCTTGCGAGTGTCGCGATTGATCTGTTGTGCAATACGCACGTATCTGTCATACGATGAACAGTAAATATCAAGGTGAATTGAAAAAGAAACAATTCTCAGGGTTGATCAGCCTGGTCTTTGAGTGAGCTATTTATAAATGACGATGTTCAGACATTCGGATGACCAGATATCTGTAGATGTAAACGTCCTGACAAACAGTGGCAACGTGTAGAAATTCCTGGAAATTGCAGACTAACCTTGCGAGTGTCGCGATTGATCTGTTGTGCAGTACGCACGTATCTGACATATGATATCTTTCAACAATAAATATTTTTAAATAGGGAAGCTTGCGATCGAAGACTAACTATTATTACAAGACAAGTTAAACGTAATTTTCGTACAACGAAACTTGAGAAATTCAACAGTTTGGAAGAATACCACAACCTGCAATCGCGAAAGGGAAAAACGAAAGAGGCACGCAGATTTGCCACCCACGCTTTGAATTGCGTGTGGCAAAAAATTAATCTGTCCATCGATCGCCAGAGAAGGTAATCGGGGATATCGGGTGTATTCGGCACTCTGCACGTCCAGCTTCGCAATTGCAGCTCGTTATCGCAGCACGTCCGCTAGCCGTGAAATAGGTCTCATAAAAAACGGCAGTTAGTAACGAATTACGAGATAAAGTTGGTCAGGGTATCGACCACGCGGTTTCCATCTCAGCCCGCAAATTCTTCGACTGTAATACCACCCCGCCA